TCAGTGCTGAAAGATATCCGCGGCGGTGAACTCCATAATCGGATCCCAATTAGATTCGATGGGCACGGATGCGCGCGGTCTGGAACACACGGCCGGAGACAAGTCCGGGGGTCCAGAGATAAAGATTCCTTTAGGAGAGTCTGTGTTCAGCTCCAACACCGATGAGTGTGCGGCCTCCGGGGCGGGGTCCATCCACCCGTCCTCGGAAGGCACGACCTGCTCTGGAACGAAGTCTGGAGACGTAGCAGGCATGATGATCCAAATACTGGCCGACGGCAGATCTAGGTCATGCACGTCGTGATCGTTCGGCGCTGCTGACATGGGCCCGAATCCGTGGAAGATCAAGTCTTCGCGGATGTCGGCAGTGTAGTTTAGGTTTCCAAACCTGACCTGATGGCCCGGGGCGTAGCTACCAACCTGCTCCAGATGGCCAAGTGAGTTGTTGAAGGTTGGAGAAGCCATCGAGCCTTACAGCGACGACACAGAGGAACTCTCAATGAAAGCACCAATGTCGGTGTCAAAACCGGCAGATCTCGGGTAGGGGGTCCCGAACTGTGCGTCTAAGGCTAATGGTAACAGGAGACTGGGGACATGATGTTTACCAGGTTTGGGCCCTCTTGATGGAGGTAATACCCTACTTGCTGCTTGATTGATCTTGATGATATGAGTATTACAAGAGTTGATCTACCACGAGATCAGAGAGGCTAAACCCTAGAACCTAGCGTATGGTATGATTGTTGTTGTATCCTACGGACTAAACACTCCGGTTTATATAGACACCGGAGGGGGCTAGGGTTACACAGAGTCGGTTATAGAGAAGGAGATCTACATCTGAATCGCCAAGCTTGCCTTCCACGCCAAGGAGAGTCCCATACGGACACGGGATGAAGTCTTCAATCTTGTATCTTCATAGTCCAACAGTCCGGCCAAAGCATATAGTCCAGCTGTCCGGATACCCCCTTATCTAGGACTCCCTCAAGGTGGTCAAGGAGGATATGAGTGAGATTATTGCTTGGGATATCCACACTTTCAGTATCTCTTGTCTGCTGAAGAACAAGTGTGATAACACTGTTTGGAGGCTGATCTCTGTTTATGGTTCTGCTTATGATAGCTTTAAGCTTGATTTTATTAATGAACTGCATAACCTCCTAGATGGCTGGGCTGGTACCACAATTGTAGGAGGTGACTATAATTTGATTAGAGTTCCTGAGGAAAAGAACACAATCCTGATTAACCAGCATTGGGCTGAACTTTTCAATGACTGGATCATTAAATTTGGCCTCATTTGGATTAAGAATGCTAGCAGGAAATATACCTGGGCGAATAACCAAGACAACCTAATCATGGCTGCTTTAGATAGGGTTTTTGTTCCTGCTGACTAGTAAAGACTGTTCCCTGCTAGCCAGGTTAAAGCTCTTCCTAGAATTGGGAGTGATCACACCCCCCTTATTTTCAATTTTGATGCTATAGATATTCCCAGAAATAAAGTTTTTAGATTTGAAAAATTGTGTCTAGAGGTTCCTGGTTTTGATGAGATTGTTCACAAAGCTTGGAACACTGATTGTCAGTTTTCCTCTGCTATAGATATCTGGCAATTTAAGATCGGAAATATAAGGAAAGCCACCAAAGGGTGGAGCCTCAGTTACGAGGCCTCTCAGAACAAGACTAAGCAAGTCTTGGCTGCTGAGTATAATCGTTTAGACATTCTTGCAGAATCTCAACCTCTTTCCCCTGTTTCTAGAGCTAGATTGAAAGTGATTGTAGGTGATCTGAATGAAATATGGAAGAAAGAGGAAATCAAGGCCATACAGAGAGCTAGAGAGAGGGACATCAAAGAGGGTGACCTGAACTCTGACTACTTTCAAGCCCTGGCCAACCAGAAGAGAAGGAAGAAGCATATTGTTGTCCTGGAAACTGCTGACGGCCCAGTTGAAAATACTGAAGGTATCATTTCTAATGAAGTTGCATATTATAAGAATCTATTTGTCTACTCCCCTTCCATCAAATTAAAGTTATTAGATGACTTTTGGGACCAGTCCAGCATGGCCACTATTGCACATATTGATTACTTAGAAAAGCCTTTCTCTGAAGAAGAAATTAAAAATGCAGTTTTTGGCTCATTTGCTGAAGGTGCCCCTGGTCCGAATGGTTTTCCTTTTTTCTATCAACATTTCTGGGATCTCATTAAGAGTGACCTGTTTGCACTCTTCAGAGATTGGTAGAAAGGTATGTTGGACTTTATAGACTCAATTTCTCCCTTCTTACTCTAGTTCCTAAAGAACCTAATGTTGTTTCTTTGGACACATTCAGACCCCTAGCCATGATTAATTGTAGTTTCAAGATCTTTGCTAAGTGTGCTGCTAATAAGTTTGGCCCAGTTTGCAATGACTTGATTTCTCCTACCCAAACTGCTTTTATTAAAGGTAGGTTTATTCTAGAAAGTATTGTAGTAGCCCATGAGGTGGTGCATGCTGTAGCTAGTAACCACCTTCAGGCGTTTTGCTTTAAGCTTGATTATAAGAAAGCTTATAACATGGTTAACAGAGATTTCTTAGTAGATATGCTTAGGAGAAGATGTTTTGGTCCTAAATGGATATACAAATTAGGCTCTCTGCAGGATTAATGACACCAATAGTGAGTTTTTCATTGCTGGCAGAGGTGTGAGACAGGGTGACCCTGCCTCCCCTTTGCTTTTTAATCTTGCTGCTGATGTATTCACTAGAATACTAGCTAAGGTAGCCAATCAGCAAATGATTGCTGGGGTTTTCCCCCCTTTAAACCCAGCTGGTGTAATTAGTATGCAATATGCTGATGACACTATATTGTTTCTTCATAATAACTTAGACCATGCTAGAAATTAAAAGTGGTTGCTTTCCTGTTTGGAGCAACTATCTGGCATCAGGATCAACTTCCATGTGTGTGATCTGGTTCCTATCAATATTGATAGGGATGAGGCTGTTAGTTTTGCCGAGTCACTGAGCTGTAAAACTGAGTACTTTTCCTATTAAGTACCTTGGTGCCCCTATTCACTATACTAAACTTAGAAGTGAGGACCTTCGGGCTATGGTGGACAAAGTTATCAAGAGATCTGTTGGCTGGAGAGGGAGACTTTTGTCTTTTGGTAAGAGGCTGATACTAGTCCAAGCTTGCCTAGCTAGTATCCCTTCTTATCTTATGCGTTATAAAAAATTCCCCAAGTGGGCTATTAAGCTCATCAACTCTGAGCTAGCTCATTGCTTTTGGGATGATTATGAAGGGCATCATAAATATCATCTGGCTAGCTGGGGGACTTTATCTATGAAGCCAATGGAGGACTGGCAATTACTGACCTCTCTAATATGAATTTATGTCTGCTAGTCTCTTGGGTCAGTAGATATAATAGAGATGAGGGGGAGATCTTGAAAAGTATTATAGATGCTAAGTACAACACCAAGTCCCCCAACATTTTTACTTGTCCCTCCCTAGGTGCCTCACCCTTTTGGAAGGGTGTTCTTTGGGCTGCCCAAGCTACTAAGTTTGGATATTCCTGGAGTATTGGTAATGGTAAGAAAGTTAGATTTTGGGATTATCATTGGTTTGGATCGGCCCCTCTAGCTACTCTCTATTGGGACTTATACAAACTTGCCAATGAGCATGATTGCACCATAGAAAAAGTGTGGGATGGATCTAACCTCAAAATCACTTTTAGGAGATGTTTCTCCAACGAGCTTCTTTGTCTTTTGTTTGAACTCTTGGAGATTGATAAATACATTGCATTTTCTGAGGCAGAAGACTCTTTTGTCTGGAACCCTAATTCCAGTGGGGTTTATTCCGTTAAGTCTTTGTACAATGTAGTTCATTTTATGGGTGTGTTGCCTAATAACACCCCTGCAGTGTGGAAAATTAAGATCCCTACCAGGATTCATAGTCAATAACAAGATACTGACCAGAGACAACTTGGGCAAAAGGCAAAATGTCCCTGACACCACTTGCCCTTTTTGTTCAATTAATGAATCCTGCCATCATTTATTTTTTTGGCTGTGACACTGTGGTTGAATTCTCGAAGAATATATCTAGTATTACTAGATATAGAGGGACAGCCAATATGTTATCCTTTGCAGACTGCTGGTCTAGAGGAAATAAAATGGAGGCTATTAATATTATGCATGCAGCCGGTCTATGGGCCATCTGGAATACCAGGAACGATTTTGTCTTTAATCGCGCCAAATGGACTAATATACAGGAACTCTGGCGCAAGACTGCCTCATACGCTGCTCGATGGGAACCGCTGGCTACAGACCCTGTTAAAAAACAAGTCCAGGACATGGTGCGGAAGATGGAGATCCTGATCAAAGCACCGTTACCGCTGATGTGGCCAGATCCAGGCTGAGGAGCTGTGGCGGTTTCTCCTGTTTTAGTTTCTAGATTCTGTTCTGTCTTAGGAGAGGAGGTGACTAGTCTTTGCCTAGTTATATTCCTGATTTGAGCCTCAAGCTGTTTCCCTTGTAATAGCTAGGTAGCTAGTCGCCTCTTTTACTTTTCTGCTTCTTAGCTTGCTGGAGTATGTTTGGACCTGAAGTTTTCGATGTACTGCTGTGATTTCTTTGCTATGCAATGGAATCGGGGCTGGACCCTCTTCTTCTAAAAAAATGCATGTCATCACCGTGTACTTGCTCACAATGCATGCATGGATGGGTACGTTAGGAGCACCCATACGCATGAATCAATCACTAGCTAATGTGTATCCTTGAAATTGCATTTTTTTTCTTTTTTCTGGAATGAAAAGTATATGCATGAATCAATCACTAGCTAACGTGTATCCTTGAAATTGCAAAAAAAAATCTTCCTTTTTCTAGAATGCCAAGTATAAGTATTTTGACATAGCTCGGTACAAAACAGCTTCAAACAAACATTAACGATATTGACAATCTATACTTTATTTTTCGAATGCCAACAAAGAGAAATCTAGGTTCCTTTTTCATACCCTTGTTATTCCTTTTTTTTTTGCGGGGGTACCCTTGTCATTCTACAAAATTAAAATCACTATAATTATTGCCGAAGCAGAGCCGACGACGACGCCGATGCCCCTTCTTGATAAAGCTAACCGTGAGATAGGAACCATTCAAAACCAGGTTTCTGAGAGCATGCAGAGCATCTTCAGGATTGGCATGCACAGTCGACATGGTTACCTGAGCAATACCCTGCGAGCGTTTGGTCTTCTTGTGGTAGATTACTTTGGCACTAGACACCTTGCCGTACCTGCTGAATAAGAGTTGCAGCTGAGGGCTCTTCACTGTAAGAGGCAGATTACGCACCAACAACTTGAAACAAGGTTCGTAGTCTCTCTCAATGTGAATGGTGTGTGTTGAACTAGTAAGCTGTTGCTGCTGCTTCATGGAACGGGCCTTTCTCCACCTCTTAGTGGTTTTCTGATAGAGCAATATCAATGTTAATTTATGAACATTTCATCATTTGCGATGCATATACAAAATCCAGGCAGTTAAACTCTTATATCCGCTGCATTTGCTTTATGCAGTGGTAAAACTAATGAAATATTGTATTACGCAAAAGATAAATTTGGGATGTACTGCTAGTGTTTACCTTAATTGGAGCAATGGCAGGCTGGGGGACGAGCCAGGTGCACTTCTTGCCATCCCATCCTAGAGGTAGCCGCTCAATGAACTTGGACTTGCACAAGAAATCGATCTCTTCACCGACGAGGTTGTACCGAATCACTCCATAACGCATTGCTGGTGACCTCTTACCGTCATTGTGGTAGATGAAATAGGCATAGCCTCCATGGCTGCCTAACATGGATGCATCCACTATGAAACTGTTGGGCGACCCCAAGAATAGCACGCGGTCCGCCAGGCTACGACCGTCCTTTCTCACCCATCGTACCTTCTCTGGCACTGGGGCCTCCTCTAGCACATGCACCGACACCGAATGTGGGAGAACACGAAACTCCTGGCAAAAAGTAAAATACATCTCAACCTGGACCGACACCCACAAAAGCTCTCCGCGGGACTCTAGGATGTAGCCGTAGTGTTCCACCAAGTAGGCCCACGACCCCTCCACCTCCACCCGCGCCGTTGGGACTAACACGTCGTCATCATTGCCGCCATCTAGCATGATAATTCGCCAGAGGCTAGGCTCAACGGTGACCAGGATCATGCCGCCACGGTACGTCGCACAATACTCTCCGTCTACATTGACCAGGATATACTCGTCATCAGGGTCAGTCTCTATGACCTTGCCACCACGTCGTGCGTAGTGGTACTCGCTGGGCCTGTCGGTATTCTCAAGGTTCCTCTCCACAAGCTTCCACTTTGCTTCACCAGGAAGCAACAACGCCGCCCTGAACCTGGTTCTTAGGCCATCATCAATGACCGAAAAACCGTAAAGAAAAGTGGTTGCGTCGCTGTAGAGAGCGCCTTTGAGGATATTCTCTTCCCACTGCCCATCGACACAGTAAGTAGGCGGCAAGAGAGGCAGGCGAGTGATTGCTCCGGTGAGAGGATCATGTAGGCTAGGGCGGAGATGTTCGATAGTGATGTACCGGATAGCAGTTGCATCGGGAGTAGACAGCCAGATCCTCTTCCCGCCTCCGGACGTCGGCGACGGCTGTGGCGACGCGTGGTAGCTAGACTTGGAGAAGACGCACCTGAACTTTAGCGGGACAGAGTCATTCTCTGGCGTGGCGAGTAGCCATGGCGGCAAGGAGTAGATGGGCTTCGATGAGTCGCGCCACGACCTGCACACGGTGCGGAAACGGAGGAAGTCCAGGGCGTGGCGAAGGCGGCCGGAGATGTCACGCAGCACGTCCGGTGGGAGGTCCGGCCACCTGGACTGCTCCATGGGGCCGAGATGGCGCTAGAATTGGAGATGGATCGATCGTACGCTTGTTGCGGATCTGCCGGTGGCCCGGGTGGTGTATATATTTTGCTACGTACGACCGCGTCCGGCTCTAATACGTAAGGATTCCCAGCGATTTGAGTCGGCTTGGATGCTCATCCGGTGTGGATACAGGCTTGCTGATAGTCTCTTTCCTATTTCTACTTCCGAAATACTAATTCATGTGGGACATCAATGTGAATACTCATCCGATGTGGATACTTGATTATCAAATTTTGTCTCGGAAGCTTCTGGTTTCTGTTAGCAAAAATCTTGTGACACTCGACGTATAAGGCGATTCCAGTAGTGGCAGTTTTGGCAGAGGCTTTGGCGTTGTTAGATTAACTAGTCAAGTTAGAGTTACTTATTCCGGTGAGAGTAAACAGACTTGATTTCAGGTTTTTCTCTCCCTGGCGCGCTCAGTCGTCCGATGAAGTACATTAATAGTCCAAGGTCGCTGTCCCACGTGCACCTCTTATACTGTATTAGGAAAAGAAAAACATCTCTCTCTTAGATTTCTTCCTCCGCCTCCTGCGGTGTCCTCCTCCTGTCACGGATTCATTCATGCGTGTGGTACTCCTGCTGAACTAAGGTCTCTCTTAGAAGCTCCCAAAAATTTGAGGTTCGCATCAAGGAGTTGTGCGGGGTTGTAAGCAATTGTTTTAGTGGTAAGCTGCTGAACTAAGGAGACCTAATATTTTGTTAGCCTTTTACTCTGAAACAAACAGAGAACAGAAGATCACCCAACATATCATTAATTAAATTCTGTAACAAATAAAATATGCATATGACAATAAGCTAGATATATTCTAGTGAGAAGGGTAAGCTTTCCACGAATTCCGTAATTCTGCCATGAGCAAAAAAAATGGATGCAAGAAAGCACGACTAATTCCAGGCAATACGTTGACTAAATAGAGAAGGTGTCAGCCCACATCTGAACCAACATCTGAGTCGGTAACAGCCCACGATCCGACGTCGTCAAAAACTCTTCGTTCTTGAACGGCAAAAATAAGCGCATAAGTGTGAGCTTGGCTCGGCTCATTCCCGCAACCCCGCCCCGCCCCACACGGTGCTGTGGCGGAGAAGGATCGTGTGGAAACCACTTCTCTTCTCAAGCTCCAATAGCGTGTGGAAGAGAATCCCATATAAGAAGTTCCAACTCCTCTCCAACTAGGAGTATGGGACTAAACTTTCCACCACACCTAGTTTCATATAACCAACATGAGCCCTTTAAGATTTTTCTAAAATTGTTAGATGGGCCCTAGGACCACCCAAATATTTCAACATAAGCTGCGTACGGGACTACTCACAGGTGAGTGGTGGCCGTCTTGCATCGTCGACCCACTTTTGAACCGCCTTGAACTAGGTGCGCCGGCAAGGCCATCATCCCAGGGTGCTTCCTCCTCAACCTCCTTAGTACCACCACCATCACTAGCGCAAGGCCATCATTGCGCCAGCCACATGGTGCGTCTTGCATCCTTAGTATTGCATCCACGTGGTGCGCCATCCCAGGGTGCGTCTTGCATCCTTAGTACCACCATCATCCCAAGGCCATCATTGCGCCAGCCACGTAGTGGCCCAACAATGTCTGGAGCCCAATAACCATCCCCCATTCCACTGCCTTTACCCCTACCCTGCTCACCGCCGCTCCCCTGCCATGGCGGCATCAAAGCAGCGAGCGACCCACAGTTTGCAATAGGTGCTTGGCTGTGTCAAGGACCATGCGCGCTGACAAGTTGGACCTCATGCACGTTAGGTGCGCCCCAGTGAGCGGGTTGGCGGAGACGTCCACGAACTCCAGCATGTCCATGCACGCCTTGCTTGCCAGCAGCTGTCCGGAGAGCTTCATGTGCGCAGGTTGATGTGCCGCAGCGTGAGGAGGGTGAGGATGGAGAAGGGGATAGTCTGGATGGGCAGCTATCTATTCAATTTCTTTTCTTTCCTTGTGTTTATCAGTTTGCAAGTAAGACGCGTAAATCCAGCAAATATGGTGATATTGTCTAAATAGATAGTACGCATGAATACCTTTGTTGTGTTTTGCCTTTTGTATATATGGATCATGTCTAGACTCAGTACGCATGTACCTAAGATTGCTTATTGTATACACAAATAGACAGTTACATGCATGGTGTTCACTGGTAACGCTTATATGAATTTCACGAAGTAGTCTGACTATGGTCCAGTTTGGCTAATGTAATGTATTACCGGGATGGTCCCTTGGTGATAGCATTTTTCTCGACTGTTTAAACTTTCTTTTTGCGGGAACTGTTTAAACTTTAAAGACAATTTTTCTTGCTATTCTACATATGGTTATTGGCTACGAACCTCGTTGAAAAATAATAAATTGAAGAGAATTTAGACAACACGAGCAATGCATCACTCCCCATAATGGCACACGGGAAAGGAAAAATGGATGTAAACCCATGACTGAAGAATAGCCCAGCGAAGCATGCCCTAGGTTCTAGTGGCCTTGGATGCCGCCTGGATTACAATTTCGTTGTGGGTCATCAGGTTAGGTCAGACATCACCGCCGAACTTGCACGGACATTGCAGTTTGGCTTTACATATCGCCACAACATTAGGGAGGGGACAGTCGGTCAAAAGGCACAAATGTTTAATCTATAATAATGTATGGTTACCCCTTGAAAAAATTATCTTCCGAACAGAGCAGGTAACATGTTGTGATGCCACCAGGCTACTCCCTCCGTTCCAAAATAGATGACTCAACTTTGTACTAAAGTTAGTACAAAGTTGAGTCAAATATTTTGACTCAACTTTGTACTAACTTTAGTACAAAGTTGAGTCATCTATTTTGGAACGGAGGGTTTGGTAATTTGGCTCTACTGGAACCTGGGAGGCTAGCTGTCCACAAGATGCTCAATGTTTTATTATTCTTGAAGCTTGTCCTTCTAATTTTTTATTTTTATTTTTTATTTCATTGAGCACATAGAAGTCCATAGGTACTTGGTATTTTACTGAATAAAATACCATGACTCTCCACTGATAGATCTTTAAAATACTAGCACTGGGTAATATCAAAGCGGTGATGCACTACTTATCTACTCAATTTTGTTTATGAAATATTACCTACTCAATTTGTCACTTATCTAATAAATTATGAAAATATATATGTTTTGTTCTTTGGTCTGACTCGTGAACAACTATTTTGTTTACTGGTTGATTGATTCCTCAATTATTTTGAGACATCTCAATGGTGACTTCTTTTTGCATTGTTACCCTTGTTGAAAGTATTGCTCGGATATGCTTGGACAGATTTTTCAAGGTAAAAACCTAGATATGGCCTTGATGACTGGATCCAATTATGTTGGCGCATGAGCGTGCTCCCTTCCTCAAAGTCTGGCTTTGAAGAACTTTGTCGTCTTGTGTGGTGTCATGAAATAGTTGGTGCGTTTATTGTCATTGCTACAGTTTGCCAATCAAATCAGAATGTCTTTTTTTTGCCAGCACATAGCTTTTGTTTATGACTTTGCTAGTTGCCGGCGTGTTTGCGCGAGCGCGCGTGTTTGTCAATTTACTAATATTTTATTTTTAATTCACCGAGCATGTAGGAGTATATAGGTATTTTCTATTAGTGAATAAAATACCACAACCATCCATTGATACATCTTCAAAATACTAGCACTTGGTAATATCAAAGTGGTGAGCACTACTTATCTACTCAACTTGCTTATGAAATATTATCTACTCAATTGCTACTTATCTAATCAATTATGCAAACATGTATGTTTGTTCTTTGTTGTGACTTATGAACCACTATAGTGGTTCATTGATTCCTCGATTAGTTTAACACTTCTTAGTGGCAAGGTCTTTCTGCGTCGTTATCTTGTTAAAGGCATTGCTCGGATATGCTTCGATTGATTTTTCAGGCTGAAAACCTAGATTCTGGCCTTGATACATGGTTGATCCGGTGACGGTGGAGCATGAGTGTCGCTCCCTTCCTCAAGCCATTGTTGTTGAAGAAATTTGTTGTGCGTGTGGTGTCATGAGATGGTTGGTGTGGATATGGTCATTGTTACAGTTTGCCAATCAAATATGATTTTTTTTCTTGCCCACACATAGTTTTGGTCTATTATGACTTTGCTGTTTACTGGCATGTTTTTTGTGCGTGTGTGTGCGCGCGCATTCGAAATATGCAGAGTATGTGCTCATAGTGTTTCATTTAGCTAATAAAATATGCCCTTTGTCGAAAACATGATTTAGCAAGTGTCATCAACTGCTTAGTTGGATCAGGCCAGACCATGATAAGTACATGGAGAAATAAGCAACGAGGTTTTGATGTAGTTGGATGGTACCTTGCAGAGTGTTCCGCGAATTGGTTACAACGTATTACAATGATATCTGGTTGTATGGATCATGAATATTTAAATAAATAATACGTGGTCTGAAACTAAAAATACATATTCTATTGTATTTGATTATTGTATAATTTTAGAAAAATCATTGTATATAAGTAGAACAACAGAACCCAAAAAAATCGCATACATGTTGCATGACATGTTTGCATGTTGAATGAAATATGTTAGTGGGGATCACCAATTGTTCATAGGCGCTCATAACCACGAAGTTGAGGCCGGCCTTTCTGATCCGTCGAACGACTAATTATTTGATGAGCTAGCTGCTTTGATGTTCCTACTTGGAGGTTGGCTAGCTTGCTTGATGGATATCACGCACCTAACACATGAAACGGCGCGACACATGACCGATTTGATATTTTCATGCCTACAGGAGCTTGTCCCTCCTGCATTATTTCTTTCTTACGAACTGCTGAAATATGCGCGTGCATGATTCCGACCCTCCGAACGGCCGCAGGTGAACCCAGGGAGCAGGACTAGTGTGGACAGCCCGGGCCAGCTGTGGGAATATTGTGGATTGACGATGCATCACATGCATTCACGTGTTCAAACCACAACGCATCCACCATCGCATAAAACTAAAAACTAACATGAAAACAGTACCACGGCCAGAGGCAAAAATTTAAGGTGTGGCGAAGTCTTAAGAAAATAATTCTTTTCATGCAAATCAAAAGAGTCAAGACACATTACAAACGAAAACCAAATACAATGAAAGTGTAGACATGTTTCAATAGGAAAACAACCTAAAACATATCGATAATGAAGCTTTCAATGGCGTCTAGAAGACCTAGGCAATGGCAATGCCCTACCCTCATTCTGAAAATCTTCCTTAATTTTGATGAGTGACATGTGCTGAAATATTGACACTTTCACGGGTGCTTGGATTTGATTTTGAGTTGCTGCCACTACCAAGCACTTCAAAATACTTTTTCAAATCCACAATCACAACATTAATATATCACTACAGTTTGCTTGAATTTAAGGCTTCAAGCTGCTGTTCAAAATTTCTACAAAATTTCATAACAAAGAGAAATTACCTCTTCCCCTTTTCTTTGGATTTGCTAGTGCATTCCTCTTTCTATCCATCTTCTAGTAATCTGGACAGAACAGCACCGGTTGGGCATCTTATTAGCTTGTACGTATAATCATGTAAAAGCAAAAACTTGTTCGTACAGTACATAGTAAACTAGCATGAATAAAAATATAAACAAACTTTCCACCCTATTGTACAAGGTCACTACATAAATCTTCATCTGTTATATTCAGAATTACTGCAGCTGGTTCGGAACTTCAGATCCTAGAGAATTGACAGAAGAAAAATCGCCAATACCTAACAAAGTGGCTGCAATTAGTCCCTGGTTCGGACCCTGGGGAATTACCAGTCGAACGAGTCCAGAGTGCGCCGATTGATAGATGCATACGTATAAAAAAAATCCCCGAAATCAAGGTATGGCGGCTGCCATACCCTGCCCACCCGAGCCCTCCGCCAGTGACCACGGCTGGTAAGTTCTGTCTTTAAATAGCAACTCCCACAGGCTCGAGTTGCAACGCACAAACACACACTAAAACATATACACCACAGACACACACACACAGAGAGAGAGAGAGAGACCATGGAGGGTGTGGTGATTAGATACCGGACTGTGGAGGTGAACGGCATATCGATGCACGTGGCGGAAGCCGGCCCCGAGGTGGACGCCAAGGGGGCGGTGTTGTTCCTGCACGGCTTCCCGGAGCTGTGGTACTCGTGGCGCCATCAGATGGACCACTTGGGGGCTTGTGGTTACCGTTGCGTCGCGCCTGACCTCCGTGGCTATGGTGGCAGCACTGCACCACCGGATGTGGCCTCTTACACAGCCTTTCACATAGTTGGTGATCTTGTTGCGCTCCTCGACACCTTAGGGCTTGCGAAGGTACAATTAAGCTTTCCTTGTAACCAAATAATATAGTTTGTTTTTCGATTATCCAGAGAAGACACATGAGCACACACAAACAACACATCCCCACCATACACAGGCCCATAGCACGTCTGCAAATCAAATGCTAACACTGATTATGATCGAAAATACATTACGACATCTCATAAAATGATATTGTTCAGTGTTGGAGGGAGTAAGAAAATATTTTGTTTAAGCGTTAGAATTTGAAAATGCATTCTATGTGAAATTGTGGCAAAGTAAATAAAATAAAATGTACATGTAACAAACAAAATGCATCATGGTTGAAATGAAGGTGTTTGTGGTCCGGCATGACTGGGGCGCGCTCATCGCGTGGTACCTGTGCCTCTTCCGTCCGGAGTGTGTGACGGCACTCGTCAACACCAGCGTCGCCTTCATGCGCCATATCATGATCCGCAATGGGCCCGACTTCGTGAATCCCATCGAGTACTTCAACCGCGCATACGGCCCCAACTACTACAAGTGCCGCTTCCAAGCAAGACACCAGCACACATTTGTCTAGAACTTTCAGCTGGTCTCTGTATTATCAGATGCACACGAATAACTATTGCTGCAAAATCATTAAAAAATATATATATGTGTATGGTTCACGTACAGGAGCCAGGTGTTGCGGAGAAGCAATTCGCCCCGGCGCACGCCAAGCGCCTGATGAGGCAAATGTTGTGCCATTGCTTTAGCCACGGCGTGTTCTGTGATGAGGAGATGGATGACAACAAGTACCCAACATCACCGCTTCTGCCTTGGCTCACCGAGGCAGACATTGACTATTTTGTCAACTACTATCGCAAGTTTGACAAGAACTGCGAGCTGGTGGCACCGTGGGCAGATGCCAAAGTGCAGGTGCCGACCAAGTACATTGTGGGCGACGGTGACATCACGTACAACTTTGAGGGGATCCAGGATTACATCCATGGTGGTGGGTTTAAGGAGGATGTTCCGCTCCTAGATGAGGTGGTCATCATCCCCGGCGCTGGCCACTTTATCCAGCAGGAGAGGGCCCAGGAGGTCAACAACCATATCTATGACTTCATCATCAAGTTCTGATCTCGAAATCCAGATGGACTCAAGTATCCATGTGCAGTTGTTGTTTGATCTTGCATGTAGCTGTTTATTGTAACGTCATTTGTTTATCTCTCTATTTCCATTCAAGGTGTGTATATGGGTTGTTGTATATTGTATCTGCGCACGTACATTAAGGTTTTCACCTGTGCTGGCGTGCAGCACGATCGAGGGGTCATCGTGCAGAACGACCGAGGGCCTGTGCCAGTGTCATGCCTTATTACAGATGTTTCTTCCACACTAAGCTCTAGTCTGACTCTATCAACTAGTTCACAAAGAATTGGATCCTTAGGGAAAAAATAAGGCACGGCTTCATGTGTACACAAACTCCACACTAGTTGTGCGAGATTAAATGTTGACCGTGCCACAAATATGTAAGTGCACTACATTGTGGTACACCATGCTACATAAAAAAGGAATATGTGAAGGATTAACTCGATGCAGGGGATTGAGGTTGGTCGTAATATAATGAAGTGAACTATTTTAAAGGATATAAAGCTTGTTCCTATGGTCCTATTAGCTAAACTTCATAGACCAGATATGTCATATAGAACTGATCTACAACCTCTGAAACTGATTCATATAATACTCACATTATAGACTAAGATGAGTACATTATGGTTTCAATAGATCTAACTATTGGTGCGGTGTCTCCACCCTTCCACTATTCGACTGTTCGGGTTTTTAGATTGGGCTTGGGTTGGCGTTTCGG